GACCGCTTGGGAACACCGCGTGCCGTTGCCCTTTTTGCGTTTTTTTTTTTTAGTTAAACTTATTAAATTCCTACATTTTAGATGTTAGATAATTGAAATCTACCTGTTTTTTTTTTCAAAGTATTAAAATTAAAAAGTTTGAAACAAATTACTTGCAATATCTATAGGTATCTAAAAGCAAAACAAAATCCTCAATACAACCTATTAAATAGTTCCTCACAGATCTTGTTGCATCGGGAATTACTTTAATTTCTAAATATGCCAATATATCCGTTTGGGTGACAATTTTTAATTACTTAGCTTAGATATCTACCTATTTAAGGATGTGTCTACGCTAGGTACCTAGGTACCAACATCGTTTTTCGTCAATCTAAACATGTCCTAGGCCAAAAAGTTCAAATTAGAAATATTGAAAAGTACCTACCTAATTAGTTTTTCAAGAGGGTAGAAAGTAAACAGGGATGAAAATAATTTACTAACTAGGTATTTTAGGACGTTATCAGGACCTAGACTCACTTATTTAATAGGCAACGACCATACCACACTGAACACACCGGTTCTCGTCCGATCACCGCAGTTAAGCAGTGTTGGGCGCGGTTAGTACTTGGATGGGTGACCGCTTGGGAACACCGCGTGCCGTTGCCCTTTTTGCGATTTTTTTTAGTTAAACTTATTAAATTCCTACATTTTAGATGTTAGATAATTCAAATCTACCTGTTTTTTTTCAAAGTATTAAAATTAAAAAGTTTGAAACAAATTACTTGCAACATCTATAGGTATCTAAAAGCAAAACAAAATCCTCAATACAACCTATTAAATAGTTCCTCACAGATCTTGTTGCATCGGGAATTACTTTAATTTCTAAATATGCCAATATATCCGTTTGGGTGACAATTTTTAATTACTTAGCTTAGATATCTACCTATTTAAGGATGTGTCTACGCTAGGTACCTAGGTACCAACATCGTTTTTCGTCAATCTAAACATGTCCTAGGCCAAAAAGTTCAAATTAGAAATATTGAAAAGTACCTACGTACCTATCTACCTACCTAATTAGTTTTTCAAGAGGGTAGAAAGTAAACAGGGATGAAAATAATTTAGCAACTAGGTATTTTAGGACGTTATCAGGACCTAGACTCACTTATTTAATAGGCAACGACCATACCACACTGAACACACCGGTTCTCGTCCGATCACCGCAGTTAAGCAGTGTTGGGCGCGGTTAGTACTTGGATGGGTGACCGCTTGGGAACACCGCGTGCCGTTGCCCTTTTTGCGTTTTTTTTTTTAGTTAAACTTATTAAATTCCTACATTTTAGATGTTGGATAATTGAAATCTACCTGTTTTTTTTTTCAAAGTATTAAAATTAAAAAGTTTGAAACAAATTACTTGCAATATCTATAGGTATCTAAAAGCAAAACAAAATCCTCAATACAACCTATTAAATAGTTCCTCACAGATCTTGTTGCATCGGGAATTACTTTAATTTCTAAATATGCCAATATATCCGTTTGGGTGACAATTTTTAATTACTTAGCTTAGATATCTACCTATTTAAGGATGTGTCTACGCTAGGTACCTAGGTACCAACATCGTTTTTCGTCAATCTAAACATGTCCTAGGCCAAAAAGTTCAAATTAGAAATATTGAAAAGTACCTACCTAATTAGTTTTTCAAGAGGGTAGAAAGTAAACAGGGATGAAAATAATTTACTAACTAGGTATTTTAGGACGTTATCAGGACCTAGACTCACTTATTTAATAGGCAACGACCATACCACACTGAACACACCGGTTCTCGTCCGATCACCGCAGTTAAGCAGTGTTGGGCGCGGTTAGTACTTGGATGGGTGACCGCTTGGGAACACCGCGTGCCGTTGCCCTTTTTGCGTTTTTTTTTTAGTTAAACTTATTAAATTCCTACATTTTAGATGTTGGATAATTGAAATCTACCTGTTTTTTTTTTCAAAGTATTAAAATTAAAAAGTTTGAAACAAATTACTTGCAATATCTATAGGTATCTAAAAGTAAAACAAAATCCTCAATACAACCTATTAAATAGTTCCTCACAGATCTTGTTGCATCGGGAATTACTTTAATTTCTAAATATGCCAATATATCCGTTTGGGTGACAATTTTTAATTACTTAGCTTAGATATCTACCTATTTAAGGATGTGTCTACGCTAGGTACCTAGGTACCAACATCGTTTTTCGTCAATCTAAACATGTCCTAGGCCAAAAAGTTCAAATTAGAAATATTGAAAAGTACCTACCTAATTAGTTTTTCAAGAGGGTAGAAAGTAAACAGGGATGAAAATAATTTAGCAACTAGGTATTTTAGGACGTTATCAGGACCTAGACTCACTTATTTAATAGGCAACGACCATACCACACTGAACACACCGGTTCTCGTCCGATCACCGCAGTTAAGCAGTGTTGGGCGCGGTTAGTACTTGGATGGGTGACCGCTTGGGAACACCGCGTGCCGTTGCCCTTTTTGCGTTTTTTTTTTTAGTTAAACTTATTAAATTCCTACATTTTAGATGTTAGATAATTGAAATCTACCTGTTTTTTTTTTCAAAGTATTAAAATTAAAAAGTTTGAAACAAATTACTTGCAATATCTATAGGTATCTAAAAGCAAAACAAAATCCTCAATACAACCTATTAAATAGTTCCTCACAGATCTTGTTGCATCGGGAATTACTTTAATTTCTAAATATGCCAATATATCCGTTTGGGTGACAATTTTTAATTACTTAGCTTAGATATCTACCTATTTAAGGATGTGTCTACGCTAGGTACCTAGGTACCAACATCGTTTTTCGTCAATCTAAACATGTCCTAGGCCAAAAAGTTCAAATTAGAAATATTGAAAAGTACCTACCTAATTAGTTTTTCAAGAGGGTAGAAAGTAAACAGGGATGAAAATAATTTACTAACTAGGTATTTTAGGACGTTATCAGGACCTAGACTCACTTATTTAATAGGCAACGACCATACCACACTGAACACACCGGTTCTCGTCCGATCACCGCAGTTAAGCAGTGTTGGGCGCGGTTAGTACTTGGATGGGTGACCGCTTGGGAACACCGCGTGCCGTTGCCCTTTTTGCGATTTTTTTTAGTTAAACTTATTAAATTCCTACATTTTAGATGTTAGATAATTGAAATCTACCTGTTTTTTTTTCAAAGTATTAAAATTAAAAAGTTTGAAACAAATTACTTGCAACATCTATAGGTATCTAAAAGCAAAACAAAATCCTCAATACAACCTATTAAATAGTTCCTCACAGATCTTGTTGCATCGGGAATTACTTTAATTTCTAAATATGCCAATATATCCGTTTGGGTGACAATTTTTAATTACTTAGCTTAGATATCTACCTATTTAAGGATGTGTCTACGCTAGGTACCTAGGTACCAACATCGTTTTTCGTCAATCTAAACATGTCCTAGGCCAAAAAGTTCAAATTAGAAATATTGAAAAGTACCTACGTACCTATCTACCTACCTAATTAGTTTTTCAAGAGGGTAGAAAGTAAACAGGGATGAAAATAATTTAGCAACTAGGTATTTTAGGACGTTATCAGGACCTAGACTCACTTATTTAATAGGCAACGACCATACCACACTGAACACACCGGTTCTCGTCCGATCACCGCAGTTAAGCAGTGTTGGGCGCGGTTAGTACTTGGATGGGTGACCGCTTGGGAACACCGCGTGCCGTTGCCCTTTTTGCGTTTTTTTTTTTAGTTAAACTTATTAAATTCCTACATTTTAGATGTTAGATAATTGAAATCTACCTGTTTTTTTTTTCAAAGTATTAAAATTAAAAAGTTTGAAACAAATTACTTGCAATATCTATAGGTATCTAAAAGCAAAACAAAATCCTCAATACAACCTATTAAATAGTTCCTCACAGATCTTGTTGCATCGGGAATTACTTTAATTTCTAAATATGCCAATATATCCGTTTGGGTGACAATTTTTAATTACTTAGCTTAGATATCTACCTATTTAAGGATGTGTCTACGCTAGGTACCTAGGTACCAACATCGTTTTTCGTCAATCTAAACATGTCCTAGGCCAAAAAGTTCAAATTAGAAATATTGAAAAGTACCTACCTAATTAGTTTTTCAAGAGGGTAGAAAGTAAACAGGGATGAAAATAATTTACTAACTAGGTATTTTAGGACGTTATCAGGACCTAGACTCACTTATTTAATAGGCAACGACCATACCACACTGAACACACCGGTTCTCGTCCAACGTCGAAGTGACATAATATATAGAAAAATTTATTCGCTGCGAAAATACTTAGTTTTTTAAGGTTTTAAAGGCAATTTCTAAAGAAATTTTCTTTAGTAAGCGTTTCTGAAAATCGGGCGCAGTTATTTAAAAGAAAAGGAAAGGAGCGGCATATCAAAAAGTTCAGGGGGGCGGCCCCCTGCTAGTGTGTGAAAAAAGTTCATGTTTTATAGAGACAATTTTGTTACACGTAGAAGAGTAATGTCTGAAGATTCGGACAATGAGAGCAGCCAAGATGCGTCGATTGGACAAGGCACTCATAGGGAACGAGCTTTGGTCCATAATGAAAGCACACCCGCAGATGTGAACTTAGGTAACGCTAAAAACGATAAAAGTACAATTGGTTTAAAAAGAGTAATTAGTCAAAAAGATTGTGATACCATCCAGCAGAATGAGGAAGAGGAGTTCCAAAGTCCCAAGAAAGCTCTATCTTTGTCTCAATTGCTTAAGAGACAAAAGATAATGGAGCCTGCTGAAACTTCAAATAAATTTGCTACTCTGGAAAGAAGAGAGGAGGAGCAAATGGAGTTGGAAGAAGACGACGCTGAGAGAGTTGAAAACCTAGAAAATACACAAGAAAAGACCCAAAGTACCAGAAAAACAAGTACAAAGAAACTACCTCCATTTGTTTTTTTCCAATCATAAAGTTGATGACCATAATGGATTCATACAAGAAATCAGAAGACATGTCATGGGTGAATTTTACCTTAAGTACACTTCACAGTCTACATTGCTGTTCGTCGTGGAGGAATCAGATCACAAACATCTGAAGCAGATCTTCATCAGTGAGGATATTCCATACCACACATATTCTTTGCCAGGTGATAAAACGCATGGGTTTGTATTGAAGGGCTTGGAAGGAATTTCAAAAATTGATGACATAAAAAATGACTTAGAGGTATCACACGGCCTCAAAGTTAAAAACATATTTCAAATGAAAACCAAAATAAGACCTCTCTATTTAGTAACGACAGAGCCTGTAATAACTCTAAGTTATTTACTGAAGAACGTTCGCTACCTGATGAATACTAAAATCACCTGGGAGCTCAGAAAGAGTACAAACGCAATCGGGCAATGTCACAGATGTCAGACATGGGGCCACGCTACTTCCAACTGTGGCCGGGCTCCCAGGTGTGTAAAATGTGCAGGTGAGCACCAAACTTCAGATTGTGTAAAATCAAGAGACACTCCTGCCACTTGTGCTAACTGTTCTGGTGATCATCCTGCAAATTACAGGAAATGTCCAGTATACATCAGGAAGCTCAACGTTCTTCGGGAAAAACAAGAGCTATCCAGAAAATCTCAAACGAGAAAATTCGTTCCAGCTCCTCAACCACGGACTAATGTATGGTCCAACAGGTTGGCTGCATCACGGCGGGAACGTGTTGGGGTGGGACCTCCTCGTGATGAAGATTTTCCACCTCTACCACGAAACAGGTTTTCTTCACAGGAAGAGGACTGCCCTGTGGTTGACGGCATGGCTGACTTTCAGCGAGTCAATAATGTCTTCCAAAGACTGCAGTCTCTTGTCAATTTGCGCGAGTTGGAACGCGCGGCGGAGGATCTGTGTCTTATAATGGAACAGGCCAGGACCCCGTTGGCCAAGTTTCAAGCCTATCAAAATTTTGTTTCTGGTCTGAACAGATACAAAATTTGAATATTCTTTTATTTGTGGTGACTAAACTGAAAATATGCTTCTATAACATAAATGGGATGAACGGTAAGTATTCTATGTTCATAAATTTTGTCTACAAATATGGATTTGATATAGTTCTTTTATCCGAGACTCACTTTCAAGCCAGTCATAAATTCAAAATTAGAGGTTATTCTGTTTATCGTAAAGATAGAGAGGATAACCTCAGAAACAATCAAAGAGGTGGGGGAGTAGCTATCTTAATAAAAAATAGCATTCCGCACGAATTAATGGAGGGTGTGAATAGCGCAGTCGAGCACATAATGGTAAGATTGAAATCCAATTTACATTTGGTGGCGGTCTATAACAGACCGCTTAACCAATTGACAAACTTGGACTTACATAACCTAGTTGCAGTATCCAATAGGGTTTTGTTATTGGGGGACCTAAATGCAAGACATCCAGAATGGAATTGTACAAGGCAAAATCAAAATGGTAACATACTTCGAAACTTTGTTGATGACAACTGTCTTTGCATCTATCATACAGATTCACCGACCCATTTCCCCTTTAACGGGAGCACTCCAACTACAATTGACCTCATCGTTGCTAAAAATTTCAGCGCGATACAGGATTTACGTACGCTACAAGAGCTGACTTCTGACCATGACCCGATATACTTTGAAATTCCTGACAAAGACAGTGACGGTAATCAACCAAAGCGACACATATTTGATTATGGAACAACAGACTGGACAAAATACAGACATGACATAAACAAGAAATTACGGATCAACACTGACATACGTGACAGGCAAACCATAGAACAAGAATTACAAATACTACAGAACATAATGAGCGACGCCAGAACTAACACGACAAAAACAAAGACCATTGGTATCACTTATGACAAATTGCCGAATGACATACTGGATTTGATAAGTGACAAAAACAGGACTAGAAAGAAATGGCAAAAATATAGGCGTGACGAAGACAGACAACGCTTACTTGAACTGGGACGGGAAATCAATAACAAAATTAAAGTATTCAGAAATGACAAGTGGACAGAACAACTGACAAAAATAAATAATTCGGAAAATTCACTTTGGAAATTGTCAAAACGGTTAAAAAAGACTTATACGCCTATACCTGCCATCAGGACAGGAGGTCGGGTGTACATGAGTGATCGCGAAAAAGGGGAAATACTCGGTGAACATTTTGAGGAAATCTTTCGGACTAATAATGCTTACAATACACCTGAACAAAATTTGATCATCGAGAATCTACAAGCTACGATAGATGCAGAAACAGTTGTTAGTGGTAGGGATCTTTCGAAATTACTATCTTCTCCTCGCGAAGTTGTAGAAACAATTTCCAGGCTTCCTCAAAATAAAACACCAGGACCTGATGGACTCGATACTGTGCTATTCAAAAATCTTCCCACTAAGGCGATTGTTCAAATTATGTACGTAATTAATGCTATTTTCAAATTACAATATTACCCTGACATTTTAAAAAATTCTATAATTATACCGATCCCCAAGCCAGGGAAAAATCACACAAATATAGATAGCTTCCGCCCTATCTCTTTGCTAAATATCTTGGCCAAAATCGTGGACAAAATTATTTTACAAAGAATTCTAGACTGGGGAGATAAACTCAAAATTATACCTAGGGAACAGTTTGGATTCCGAAAGGGCCACACCACTGTGGGTCAAATTATTAGAATACTCCACTTTGCTAAACAAGGTTTTCGGGAAAAGATGAACACAGTGGTGGTGGCTCTAGACATGGAAAAGGCTTTCGACAAGGTCTGGATAGAAGGATTAGCACACAAAATGAATACTGCTGGGTATCCCGTGTATGTTACGAAGCTTATATATTCTTATTTAAAAAACAGGCGGTTCCATGTGAGAATTAATAATTCTCTTGTCGGACCATTCGGAACAGAGGCAGGAGTCCCTCAAGGTTCAGTGCTGTCACCACATTTGTATACCGTCATGACTCATGATTTTCCGATGCATGACGATATACAAACAGCACTGTATGCCGATGATACGTGTTTCTATAAGAAGTCATTTAGCGCAGAGATAGCAAACAGGAGACTCGATATTCATATAAATAGAGTTGTGCTTCCCTATCTGGAGCGAAACAAAATGAAAGTGAATGGGACGAAAACAGAACAGATTGTTTTAACCAGAAAATATACGAACGTAAACATTCAGAATAAATTAAAAATCGGACCTGATTCTGTTTCGTTGAAATCTAAAATAAAGTATTTAGGTTTCGTTCTAGATAGGAGGCTCAACTATTACGCGCATGTGGCCAATTTGGTATCAAAGGCAAATTCGGCTATTACGCTTATATACCCCCTGCTTAACAAGAACAGCAAGTTGTCCAAGGACAACAAGCTGTTGTTATATAAGCAGGTGATTAGACCAACGCTGAGCTATGGATATCAAGCCTTCTGTTCGGCTTCCAACACATTACTGCTGAAGCTGCAACGCAAGCAAAACACGTGTCTGAGGCTAGCCTTGAGCAGAGACAGATACTCTCGAATAGCGGACCTTCATGCTGAAGCCCATGTTCCGATGTTACAAGATTATATTATAAAGAACTCAGATAGATTTTATAGAAAGAAGCTGACGTCACCGCTCCTTAGAGACGTGACGCAGTTGCGTGCACGAGACAATCCCAACATGAAACATGGCCTTTTGCATGAAAGGTTACCTCTATTCAGAGAGTAGCCTATGATCCGAATGATCTGATTAGTTTTGGTTTAAACCCTGTTTTTTCGATTGGTTTTTCAGGGAAGTTAGGATAAATTTGAGAATATTCATAATTGATAAGGCGCGGGTCAATTGCCGTACGTTGTTGCTCCCCTCAAAGTTGACAGATAATGATGACATAATCATCAAGGAGCTGTCAGTCTATAAAGGTGTAGACTGCTGACAGGTTCTCCTCTTCTGGAGAGCAGGCCAGCGGAGTGCACCATTACTTGTTTATTTGAAGTGGAAGACATTGTTGTATTGCTCAAAGGCTGCCACCCGCCACGGTACATGGGGCCTCTTTCTGGAGAGAAGACATGTACTGTACTGTAGACTGTGAAGACTGTACGAAATAGGAAATACAACGATTGTTTTCTACATATATATGTTTAATGTAAAAATTATTTGAATAAACTTGTTTTGGATTTGGATTTGGTTCTCGTCCGATCACCGCAGTTAAGCAGTGTTGGGCGCGGTTAGTACTTGGATGGGTGACCGCTTGGGAACACCGCGTGCCGTTGCCCTTTTTGCGATTTTTTTTAGTTAAACTTATTAAATTCCTACATTTTAGATGTTAGATAATTGAAATCTACCTGTTTTTTTTTCAAAGTATTAAAATTAAAAAGTTTGAAACAAATTACTTGCAACATCTATAGGTATCTAAAAGCAAAACAAAATCCTCAATACAACCTATTAAATAGTTCCTCACAGATCTTGTTGCATCGGGAATTACTTTAATTTCTAAATATGCCAATATATCCGTTTGGGTGACAATTTTTAATTACTTAGCTTAGATATCTACCTATTTAAGGATGTGTCTACGCTAGGTACCTAGGTACCAACATCGTTTTTCGTCAATCTAAACATGTCCTAGGCCAAAAAGTTCAAATTAGAAATATTGAAAAGTACCTACGTACCTATCTACCTACCTAATTAGTTTTTCAAGAGGGTAGAAAGTAAACAGGGATGAAAATAATTTAGCAACTAGGTATTTTAGGACGTTATCAGGACCTAGACTCACTTATTTAATAGGCAACGACCATACCACACTGAACACACCGGTTCTCGTCCACTGAACACACCGGTTCTCGTCAAGTGAACGCGTTATTTCAGCGAAAGAGTGATCCCGTATTATTTTAGTGAAAAACATATAGACAATTATTAGTTTTTAGTGAATTTATTATATAAGTAGTGTGAAAATCTAAAAAACTTTTAAAAAGTACACAAAACCGCGGTTTTAGTAATATTTTTGGAAAACCCAATCTGACATTTTGTCAGTGACAGATTTTGAACAGTCAAAAAATCTCTCCATCAAGAGAGAGATTAGGAAATTTAAGGAAAAACGGGTGCTAATACCCGAGAAAAATTTACAGTTATTGCAGCAACAAAATGCTTTGAGACGTTCAAAATTAAAAAGTAACAGTACATCCCAAATCAGTGATATTATGTCGGCGATTCCTCCTGGTAAAGCAGCTATTGATAGCAAGTATAGAAATAATAACATTCAGAGTAAAGTAACTTATCAACAACAAACCCAAATACAATCCCATCCGCAAAAGGTAAGCTCACCTATAAAAAGCGCATCAAAAACTACTACAACCACAACAACAACTATAATATCAACATCATCGGCAATTGCAGCATCAATTACAGATCCAAGTACAACATCAGTAATAAATACACCAATAAGTAGTACACTCACAAATGAATTTGAGCCGAAAATGCACTCTCAATCACAGTTCTCAATTACGACAGAATTTATGGATACTGAATTTACACAAATTTCGTCAGATGAGCAAATCAACTCTCAACCACTAATTGAAGTAGTGCAGGTGCATGATGACTACCATCCAAATATTAAACGAACACTGGCAGCAAGAGATACGTCTTCAGAAGATGAAGGTAATGAAAACGATTATAAAATTCCCAAGAAAACGCTACCATTATCACGCCTCTCTCAGATGATAAAACCAAAAAATCCACCTGTCACTACTGTCAATAGATTTGTTCCACTCATAGAGGATGATATCCATGTTGTCGAAGAGCCCCATCATCACGAAGTTTCAAAAGAAAATACCGCTAGTTCCTCAGTCATTGGCAAGCCACCACCGATAGTAATAAATGGTATTGTAGGGGATTTAAAAGGTTTTAGAGATGAAATAAAGTCGGTCGTCGAAAACGACTTTTTCCTCAAATACACAAAAAATTCAACCCTGTTGTTTTTAAAAGATAAAACGGATTATAATAAGCTCAGTAATAAACTGAAAGCACTTAACGAATTAGAGTGGCACACTTACACAGTGGCGGAGGAAAAACAGCACGCTTTTGTCCTAAGAGGGTTAGATTTTGATGTCGATCTGAAGGATATAAAGGAGCAGTTAGAAGAAGAACACAAAATAACTACAAACAACATATATAAAATGTCAACAACAGGTAGGCCCTTGTACCTTGTAACTACATCCAATAAAATTAATCTAAATTTCTTGGTGAACAATATTAAACACCTAATGAATACAAGGGTATATTGGGAGCGAAGAAGGAACGAAAGAAAATTAATTCAGTGCAGACGCTGCCAACGATGGGGTCATGCTACATCCAACTGTTACAGAGTCCCACGATGTCTCAAATGCGCAAATAATCACTGGACAAGAGAGTGTGAGAAAACTCCGGATACCCCTGCAAAATGTGCGAATTGCAACATGGATCATCCTGCAAACTACTCCAAGTGTCCGGAGTACACGAAAGCATTAGAGCGGTTGGAGTCTAAGAAGCCAACTTTTAAGCCGGCTCCGCCTCCAGTTACAAACGCCTGGCAAAATAGAAGCAAGAAGACTGTCCAATTTGAACCTGAAATCCGAATGGCTACAGAATTCCCCCCGCTTCCATCGAAAACAACAGCGAACAGAGCAGCACCGCATTTTGTCAGTGGTATGGAGCAAGACATCGGTACATTTACTGAATTGGCGTCTGAATTCAAGGTGCTTAATAATATGGTCAATTTAAAGGTACTTTTGCAGGCTGTCAGGGACCTAAACGTAATAATGTCTAGTGCCCCTAACAGTTCAGCAAAATTTATTGCTTTTTATAACTTTATTTCTTCAATTGAAAAGTACAATATTTAAAATGCGGGCTAATTGTGTTTTGTTTAACGCAAATTCCGTGAAAAATAAAATTGCTGAATTAATTTATTTCTTAAATAAACACAAAATTGATATTGCTTTCCTTTCAGAGACGCAACTGAGGGCAAATCATAAGTTTAGGGTAAAGGGCTATAATATAGAACGTGAGGACCGTCCTGATAGAACAGATGGGAATCTGATGAAACAAGGAGGCGGTGTCGCTTTCGTGATAAGAAACAACATTCCTTATTGCAGACTACAAACGAGGCATACTTCATCAATTGAGCATGTTGCAGTGAGACTTGATAATGGGTTGGTGCTTGTTGGCGTGTACGTCCAGCCTAAGACAGATATTGTCTGGAGTGAGGTAGATCAATTATTAGCTCTTGGTAGTAAGGTAATAATTGCTGGCGATTTTAATAGCAGACATGAACAATGGGGATGTTTATCTAATAACAAAAATGGTCGATACATGTCTAGATATCTTGAGGAGACACAAGTAGCTTTAATGTATACTGACACTCCAACTCATTTCCCTTCAAATGGCCAAACGCCCTCGACTATGGATTTTATCATCAATAAAAATGTGAGCAATCTGTCTGAGCCTTACACTGTATGCGAAATGAGTTCTGACCATGATCCAGTACTCTTCACAATTGGAGAGGTTTTTAAAGAAAACCCCGCTAAGCCGATGTGGGATTACAAAAATACCAATTGGGAAGAGTATAGGAAACATATTAATGCTATACTTAAAACAAAATATGTTTCTCAAGAGAGAGAAATAGATGAAATGGTTTCAAATTTTACTAATATCATGTTAAATGCTCGTTTAAAAACTACGAAGCAAATCAAACAGATCGAACAGGACAAAATACCAGATGAAATCATCTCTCTAATTCATCAAAAACAAAAATTTAGAAAACAGTGGCAAAGAACAAGGAATGACGCAGACAGGGTCAGATTCAGAGAGTTAGCTCGACAAATAAGAGAAAGAATTATAGATTATAGGTCAACAGTTTGGCAGACAAAATTGGAAAATCTGAAACCTGGCTCTAATGAGGTATGGAATGTTGTCAGGTCTCTCAAAAAACGATATGAAAATATTCCAACCCTCATAGATCAGGATAAAGAGCATGTAAATAATCGCCAGAAGGCGGAATGCTTTGGAGAATACTATAGGGATAATTTTAAAAGTCTTTCGGACACAAACCAAGTTCACATCGATACAACAGTTAGGGCTAAACAGCTGAGGGACACCCCCATTGTGTCAATAAATTCCAAGACGTTTTCTAAAATATTGGTCACTCCTTTAGAGGTTTACGAAATAATTAAAGAATTACCTATTAAAAAATCCCCAGGTGTTGACGAAGTGGATACCATTTTATTAAAAAATCTTCCTCCTAAGGGTTTTACACACTTAGCTAATATTACCAACGGAATTATTAGACTACAGTCATATCCGGATTGCCTTAAAAAAGCATTAATTGTACCGATTTTGAAGCCGGGTAAATCGAAAAATAGAGCGGATAGCTATCGTCCCATATCTTTACTAAGTATTACAGCCAAGGTAATAGATAAAATTATATTAAAAAGAATTGGCGGAGAAACTAAAAAACTTAAAATAATTCCACATGAACAGTTTGGATTCCGCTCTGGTCATTCTACAGTGTCACAGGTGGTCCGAATTGTTCATGCGGCGAAGGAAAATATAAATTGTAAGAGAAACACCGTAGCTGCCTTTTTGGACATGCGTAAAGCCTTCGATACCGTTTGGATAGAACGGTTATTAGTAAAGATGTGGGACGGTGGCTTTCCGCTGTATTTAGTCAAACTAATTAACTCTTACCTTGATAACCGGACAATATCAGTTAAGGTGCAAAACACAATATCATCACAATATCCAGTGCAAGCGGGAGTTCCGCAAGGATCGGCCCTCTCGCCACTACTTTATTCCATATATACTTCGGATGTGCCTAAATTTGAAAAAACAAACTTAGCCCTATATGCGGATGATACCTGCGTATATGCCCACTCGTTTTCCTCTGAGGTAGCCTGTAGACAGGTACAATTACATATTGATCGCATATTGTTACCATACTACCTAGACAACAAGCTAGTAATTAATCCCGAGAAAACTGAATTAATAAATATCACAAAGAAACATACCAATAACAAAATTTTCAATGACTTGAACGTATGCGGTAATAAAATTAAACCAAAAAGATATATTAAATATCTCGGGCTGACTATCGATCGATCTGTTTGTTGGAAGTCACACATAGACACGGTAGCATCCAAAATAAATGGCCTAATTAAAACATTATATCCCCTAATTTGTAAGCGTAGCAAGGTCAATCTTCCTACTAAACTGTTAATTTTTAAACAAATTTTCAGACCTGTACTAACATACGGATGTCCTGCGTTTTGTTCGGCTTCTAACACACAGATGGTTCGTCTACAGCGGCTGCAAAATAGGGTGTTGAGAATTATCACGGATAGCGATCGGTACACTCCTGTTCGTAGAATTCACGAAAAAGCTAAAGTTCCTCTGTTAAATGATTATGTATTAAAGTTGTCGTTGAAATTTTACAAATCCCACTTGAGAGGAAGTATTCTTACTCGCGACATCATTAGCACACACATTCAACAGCCAATGGCTAGAAAACATGGCTTAATCTATGAAGCCCTTCTACCACATCTATAGCACATGCTAATATTGATATATTTTTGACGCCTTTTAGGTTTTCACTAATATGTCTTATACTTACATTATATATTTAGATGTTGTTTTCAATTGTTTAGAAAAGGTTTTTGCCAGATTTTTCCTTTGAATAGATTACTAAAACTTTCAGTTTCATTCAATAGTTTAAAATATCATTACAATTATCTAGAAGAAATAAAGTTATAAACAGTAATGAATCCAAAAGCCTTTGAAGGTGGGAGGGAATCGTCGACATTTCATTTCTACACATAGCAAAGATAAGAGAACTTCATGGTGCCAGTCCATCCGGCGACCCTCAAATTATCAAGGCCATAGTGGTTAGATATTGGGGGTAATTTCACATAGAAGTCTAGACAATATACCTACTATGTTTCTCTGTATTTTGCTATATACTATTATGTAACTAACAAATCAATAAAGATATTATGTATGTATGTATGGTTCTCGTCCGATCACCGCAGTTAAGCAGTGTTGGGCGCGGTTAGTACTTGGATGGGTGACCGCTTGGGAACACCGCGTGCCGTTGCCCTTTTTGCGTTTTTTTTTTTTTAGTTAAACTTATTAAATTCCTACATTTTAGATGTTAGATAATTGAAATCTACCTGTTTTTTTTTTCAAAGTATTAAAATTAAAAAGTTTGAAACAAATTACTTGCAATATCTATAGGTATCTAAAAGCAAAACAAAATCCTCAATACAACCTATTAAATAGTTCCTCACAGATCTTGTTGCATCGGGAATTACTTTAATTTCTAAATATGCCAATATATCCGTTTGGGTGACAATTTTTAATTACTTAGCTTAGATATCTACCTATTTAAGGATGTGTCTACGCTAGGTACCTAGGTACCAACATCGTTTTTCGTCAATCTAAACATGTCCTAGGCCAAAAAGTTCAAATTAGAAATATTGAAAAGTACCTACCTAATTAGTTTTTCAAGAGGGTAGAAAGTAAACAGGGATGAAAATAATTTACTAACTAGGTATTTTAGGACGTTATCAGGACCTAGACTCACTTAGTTAATAGGCAACGACCATACCACACTGAACACACCGGTTCTCGTCCGATCACCGCAGTTAAGCAGTGTTGGGCGCGGTTAGTACTTGGATGGGTGACCGCTTGGGAACACCGCGTGCCGTTGCCCTTTTTGCGATTTTTTTTAGTTAAACTTATTAAATTCCTACATTTTAGATGTTGGATAATTGAAATCTACCTGTTTTTTTTTCAAAGTATTAAAGTTAAAAAGTTTGAAACAAATTACTTGCAACATCTATAGGTATCTAAAAGTAAAACAAAATCCTCAATACAACCTATTAAATAGTTCCTCACAGATCTTGTTGCATCGGGAATTACTTTAATTTCTAAATATGCCAATATATCCGTTTGGGTGACAATTTTTAATTACTTAGCTTAGATATCTACCTATTTAAGGATGTGTCTACGCTAGGTACCTAGGTACCAACATCGTTTTTCGTCAATCTAAACATGTCCTAGGCCAAAAAGTTCAAATTAGAAATACTGAAAAGTACCTACCTAATTAGTTTTTCAAGAGGGTAGAAAGTAAACAGGGATGAAAATAATTTACTAACTAGGTATTTTAGGACGTTATCAGGACCTAGACTCACTTATTTAATAGGCAACGACCATACCACACTGAACACACCGGTTCTCGTCCGATCACCGCAGTTAAGCAGTGTTGGGCGCGGTTAGTACTTGGATGGGTGACCGCTTGGGAACACCGCGTGCCGTTGCCCTTTTTGCGATTTTTTTTAGTTAAACTTATTAAATTCCTACATTTTAGATGTTGGATAATTGAAATCTACCTGTTTTTTTTTTCAAAGTATTAAAGTTAAAAAGTTTGAAACAAATTACTTGCAACATCTATAGGTATCTAAAAGCAAAACAAAATCCTCAATACAACCTATTAAATAGTTCCTCACAGATCTTGTTGCATCGGGAATTACTTTAATTTCTAAATATGCCAATATATCCGTTTGGGTGACAATTTTTAATTACTTTAGCTTAGATATCTAACTATTTAAGGATGTGTCTACGCTAGGTACCTAGGTACCAACATCGTTTTTCGTCAATCTAAACATGTCCTAGGCCAAAAAGTTCAAATTAGAAATACTGAAAAGTACCTACCTAATTAGTTTTTCAAGAGGGTAGAAAGTAAACAGGGATGAAAATAATTTACTAACTAGGTATTTTAGGACGTTATCAGGACCTAGACTCACTTATTTAATAGGCAACGACCATACCACAGTGAACACACCGGTTCTCGTCCGAACACACCGGTTCTCGTCAAGTGAACGCGTTATTTCAGCGAAAGAGTGATCCCGTATTATTTAGTGAAAAACATATAGACAATTATTAGTTTTTAGTGAATTTATTATATAAGTACTGTGAAAATCTAAAAAACTTTTAAAAAGTACACAAAACCGCGGTTTTAGTAATATTTTTGGAAAACCCAATCTGACATTTTGTCAGTGACAGATTTTGAACAGTCAAAAAATCTCTCCATCAAGAGAGAGATTAGGAAATTTAAGGAAAAACGGGTGCTAATACCCGAGAAAAATTTACAGTTATTGCAGCAACAAAATGCTTTGAGACGTTCAAAATTAAAAAGTAACAGTACATCCCAAATCAGTGATATTATGTCGGCGATTCCTCCTGGTAAAGCAGCTATTGATAGCAAGTATAGAAATAATAACATTCAGAGTAAAGTAACTTATCAACAACAAACCCAAATACAATCCCATCCGCAAAAGGTAAGCTCACCTATAAAAAGCGCATCAAAAACTACTACAACCACAACAACAACTATAATATCAACATCATCGGCAATTGCAGCATCAATTACAGATCCAAGTACAACATCAGTAATAAATACACCAATAAGTAGTACACTCACAAATGAATTTGAGCCGCAAATGCACTCTCAATCACAGTTCTCAATTACGACAGAATTTATGGATACTGAATTTACACAAATTTCGTCAGATGAGCAAATCAACTCTCAACCACTAATTGAAGTAGTGCAGGTGCATGATGACTACCATCCAAATATTAAACGAACACTGGCAGCAAGAGATACGTCTTCAGAAGATGAAGGTAATGAAAACGATTATAAAATTCCCAAGAAAACGCTACCATTATCACGCCTCTCTCAGATGATAAAACCAAAAAATCCACCTGTCACTACTGTCAATAGATTTGTTCCACTCATAGAGGATGATATCCATGTTGTCGAAGAGCCCCATCATCACGAAGTTTCAAAAGAAAATACCGCTAGTTCCTCAGTCATTGGCAAGCCACCACCGATAGTAATAAATGGTATTGTAGGGGATTTAAAAGGTTTTAGAGATGAAATAAAGTCGGTCGTCGAAAACGACTTTTTCCTCAAATACACAAAAAATTCAACCCTGTTGTTTTTAAAAGATAAAACGGATTATAATAAGCTCAGTAATAAACTGAAAGCACTTAACGAATTAGAGTGGCACACTTACACAGTGGCGGAGGAAAAACAGCACGCTTTTGTCCTAAGAGGGTTAGATTTTGATGTCGATCTGAAGGATATAAAGGAGCAGTTAGAAGAAGAACACAAAATAACTACAAACAACATATATAAAATGTCAACAACAGGTAGGCCCTTGTACCTTGTAACTACATCCAATAAAATTAATCTAAATTTCTTGGTGAACAATATTAAACACCTAATGAATACAAGGGTATATTGGGAGCGAAGAAGGAACGAAAGAAAATTAATTCAGTGCAGACGCTGCCAACGATGGGGTCATGCTACATCCAACTGTTACAGAGTCCCACGATGTCTCAAATGCGCAAATAATCACTGGACAAGAGAGTGTGAGAAAACTCCGGATACCCCTGCAAAATGTGCGAATTGCAACATGGATCATCCTGCAAACTACTCCAAGTGTCCGGAGTACACGAAAGCATTAGAGCGGTTGGAGTCTAAGAAGCCAACTTTCAAGCCGGCTCCGCCTCCAGTTACAAACGCCTGGCAAAATAGAAGCAAGAAGACTGTCCAATTTGAACCTGAAATCCGAATGGCTACAGAATTCCCCCCGCTTCCATCGAAAACAACAGCGAACAGAGCAGCACCGCATTTTGTCAGTGGTATGGAGCAAGACATCGGTACATTTACTGAATTGGCGTCTGAATTCAAGGTGCTTAATAATATGGTCAATTTAAAGGTACTTTTGCAGGCTGTCAGGGACCTAAACGCAATAATGTCTAGTGCCCCTAACAGTTCAGCAAAATTTATTGCTTTTTATAACTTTATTTCTTCACTTGAAAAGTACAATATTTAAAATGCGGGCTAATTGTGTTTTGTTTAACGCAAATTCCGTGAAAAATAAAATTGCTGAATTAATTTATTTCTTAAATAAACACAAAATTGATATTGCTTTCCTTTCAGAGACGCAACTGAGGGCAAATCATAAGTTTAGGGTAAAGGGCTATAATATAGAACGTGAGGACCGTCCTGATAGAACAGATGGGAATCTGATGAAACAAGGAGGCGGTGTCGCTTTCGTGATAAGAAACAACATTCCTTATTGCAGACTACAAACGAGGCATACTTCATCAATTGAGCATGTTGCAGTGAGACTTGATAATGGGTTGGTGCTTGTTGGCGTGTACGTCCAGCCTAAGACAGATATTGTCTGGAGTGAGGTAGATCAATTATTAGCTCTTGGTAGTAAGGTAATAATTGCTGGCGATTTTAATAGCAGACATGAACAATGGGGATGTTTATCTAATAACAAAAATGGTCGATACATGTCTAGATATCTTGAGGAGACACAAGTAGCTTTAATGTATACTGACACTCCAACTCATTTCCCTTCAAATGGCCAAACGCCCTCGACTATGGATTTTGTCATCAATAAAAATGTGAGCAATCTGTCTGAGCCTTACACTGTATGCGAAATGAGTTCTGACCATGATCCAGTACTCTTCACAATTGGAGAGGTTTTTAAAGAAAACCCCGCTAAGCCGATGTGGGATTACAAAAATACCAATTGGGAAGAGTATAGGAAACATATTAATGCTATACTTAAAACAAAATATGTTTCTCAAGAGAGAGAAATAGATGAGATGGTTTCAAATTTTACTAATATCATGTTAAATGCTCGTTTAAAAACTACGAAGCAAATCAAACAGATCCAACAGGACAAAATACCAGATGAAATCATCTCTCTAATTCATCAAAAACAAAAATTTAGAAAACAGTGGCAAAGAACAAGGAATGACGCAGACAGGGTCAGATTCAGAGAGTTAGCTCGACAAATAAGAGAAAGAATTATAGATTATAGGTCAACAGTTTGGCAGACAAAATTGGAAAATCTGAAACCTGGCTCTAATGAGGTATGGAATGTTGTCAGGTCTCTCAAAAAACGATATGAAAATATTCCAACCCTCATAGATCAGGATAAAGAGCATGTAAATAATCGCCAGAAGGCGGAATGCTTTGGAGAATACTATAGGGATAATTTTAAAACTCTTTCGGACACAAACCAAGTTCACATCGATACAACAGTTAGGGCTAAACAGCTGAGGGACACCCCCATTGTGTCAATAAATTCCAAGACGTTCTCTAAAATATTGGTCACTCCTTTAGAGGTTTACGAAATAATTAAAGAATTACCTATTAAAAAATCCCCAGGTGTTGACGAAGTGGATACCATTTTATTAAAAAATCTTCCTCCTAAGGGTTTTACACACTTAGCTAATATTACCAACGGAATTATTAAACTACAGTCATATCCGGATTGCCTTAAAAAAGCATTAATTGTACCGATTTTGAAGCCGGGTAAATCGAAAAATAGAGCGGATAGCTATCGTCCCATATCTTTACTAAGTATTACAGCCAAGGTAATAGATAAAATTATATTAAAAAGAATTGGCGGAGAAACTAAAAAACTTAAAATAATTCCACATGAACAGTTTGGATTCCGCTCTGGTCATTCTACAGTGTCACAGGTGGTCCGAATTGTTCATGCGGCGAAGGAAAATATAAATTGTAAGAGAAACACCGTGGCTGCCTTTTTGGACATGCGTAAAGCCTTCGATACCGTTTGGATAGAACGGTTATTAGTAAAGATGTGGGACGGTGGCTTTCCGCTATATTTAGTCAAACTAATTAACTCTTACCTTGATAACCGGACAATATCAGTTAAGGTGCAAAACACAATATCATCACAATATCCAGTGCAAGCGGGAGTTCCGCAAGGATCGGCCCTCTCGCCACTACTTTATTCCATATATACTTCGGATGTGCCTAAATTTGAAAAAACAAACTTAGCCCTATATGCGGATGATACCTGCGTATATGCCCACTCGTTCTCCTCTGAGGTAGCCTGTAGACAGGTACAATTACATATTGATCGCATATTGTTACCATACTACCTAGACAACAAGCTAGTAATTAATCCCGAGAAAACTGAATTAATAAATATCACAAAGAAACATACCAATAACAAAATTTTCAATGACTTGAACGTATGCGGTAATAAAATTAAACCAAAAAGATATATTAAATATCTCGGGCTGACTATCGATCGATCTGTTTGTTGGAAGTCACACATAGACACGGTAGCATCCAAAATAAATGGCCTAATTAAAACATTATATCCCCTAATTTGTAAGCGTAGCAAGGTCAATCTTCCTACTAAACTGTTAATTTTTAAACAAATTTTCAGACCTGTACTAACATACGGATGTCCTGCGTTTTGTTCGGCTTCTAACACACAGATGGTTCGTCTTCAGCGGCTGCAAAATAGGGTGTTAAGAATTATCACGGATAGCGATCGGTACACTCCTGTTCGTAGAATTCACGAAAAAGCTAAAGTTCCTCTGTTAAATGATTATGTATTAAAGTTGTCGTTGAAATTTTACAAATCCCACTTGAGAGGAAGTATTCTTACTCGCGACATCATTAGCACACACATTCAACAGCCAATGGCTAGAAAACATGGCTTAATCTATGAAGCCCTTCTACCACATCTATAGCACATGCTAATATTGATATATTTTTGACGCCTTTTAGGTTTTCACTAATATGTCTTATACTTACATTATATATTTAGATGTTGTTTTCAATTGTTTAGAAAAGGTTTTTGCCAGATTTTTCCTTTGAATAGATTACTAAAAGTTTCAGTTTCATTCAATAGTTTAAAATATCATTACAATTATCTAGAAGAAATAAAGTTATAAACAGTAATGAATCCAAAAGCCTTTGAAGGTGGGAGGGAATCGTCGACATTTCATTTCTACACATAGCAAAGATGAGAGAACTTCATGGTGCCAGTCCATCCGGCGACCCTCAAATTATCAAGGCCATAGTGGTTAGATATTGGGGGTAATTTCACATAGAAGTCTAGACAATATACCTACTATGTTTCTCTGTATTTTGCTATATACTAATTATGTAACTAACAAATCAATAAAGATATTATGTATTATTATATGTATGGTTCTCGTCCGATCACCGCAGTTAAGCAGTGTTGGGCGCGGTTAGTACTTGGATGGGTGACCGCTTGGGAACACCGCGTGCCGTTGCCCTTTTTGCGATTTTTTTTAGTTAAACTTATTAAATTCCTACATTTTAGATGTTGGATAATTGAAATCTACCTGTTTTTTTTTCAAAGTATTAAAGTTAAAAAGTTTGAAACAAATTACTTGCAACATCTATAGGTATCTAAAAGTAAAACAAAATCCTCAATACAACCTATTAAATAGTTCCTCACAGATCTTGTTGCATCGGGAATTACTTTAATTTCTAAATATGCAAATATATCCGTTTGGGTGACAATTTTTAATTACTTAGCTTAGATATCTACCTATTTAAGGATGTGTCTACGCTAGGTACCTAGGTACCAACATCGTTTTTCGTCAATCTAAACATGTCCTAGGCCAAAAAGTTCAAATTAGAAATACTGAAAAGTACCTACCTAATTAGTTTTTCAAGAGGGTAGAAAGTAAACAGGGATGAAAATAATTTACTAACTAGGTATTTTAGGACGTTATCAGGACCTAGACTCACTTATTTAATAGGCAACGACCATACCACAGTGAACACACCGGTTCTCGTCCGATCACCGCAGTTAAGCAGTGTTGGGCGCGGTTAGTACTTGGATGGGTGACCGCTTGGGAACACCGCGTGCCGTTGCCCTTTTTGCGATTTTTTTTAGTTAAACTTATTAAATTCCTACATTTTAGATGTTGGATAATTGAAATCTACCTGTTTTTTTTTTCAAAGTATTAAAATTAAAAAGTTTGAAACAAATTACTTGCAACATCTATAGGTATCTAAAAGCAAAACAAAATCCTCAATACAACCTATTAAATAGTTCCTCACAGATCTTGTTGCATCGGGAATTACTTTAATTTCTAAATATGCCAATATATCCGTTTGGGTGACAATTTTTAATTACTTTAGCTTAGATATCTAACTATTTAAGGATGTGTCTACGCTAGGTACCTAGGTACCAACATCGTTTTTCGTCAATCTAAACATGTCCTAGGCCAAAAAGTTCAAATTAGAAATACTGAAAAGTACCTACCTAATTAGTTTTTCAAGAGGGTAGAAAGTAAACAGGGATGAAAATAATTTACTAACTAGGTATTTTAGGACGTTATCAGGACCTAGACTCACTTATTTAATAGGCAACGACCATACCACACTGAACACACCGGTTCTCGTCCGATCACCGCAGTTAAGCAGTGTTGGGCGCGGTTAGTACTTGGATGGGTGACCGCTTGGGAACACCGCGTGCCGTTGCCCTTTTTGCGATTTTTTTTAGTTAAACTTATTAAATTCCTACATTTTAGATGTTGGATAATTGAAATCTACCTGTTTTTTTTTCAAAGTATTAAAGTTAAAAAGTTTGAAACAAATTACTTGCAACATCTATAGGTATCTAAAAGTAAAACAAAATCCTCAATACAACCTATTAAATAGTTCCTCACAGATCTTGTTGCATCGGGAATTACTTTAATTTCTAAATATGCCAATATATCCGTTTGGGTGACAATTTTTAATTACTTAGCTTAGATATCTACCTATTTAAGGATGTGTCTACGCTAGGTACCTAGGTACCAACATCGTTTTTCGTCAATTTAAACATGTCCTAGGCCAAAAAGTTCAAATTAGAAATACTGAAAAGTACCTACCTAATTAGTTTTTCAAGAGGGTAGAAAGTAAACAGGGATGAAAATAATTTACTAACTAGGTATTTTAGGACGTTATCAGGACCTAGACTCACTTATTTAATAGGCAATGACCATACCACAGTGAACACACCGGTTCTCGTCCGATCACCGCAGTTAAGCAGTGTTGGGCGCGGTTAGTACTTGGATGGGTGACCGCTTGGGAACACCGCGTGCCGTTGCCCTTTTTGCGATTTTTTTTAGTTAAACTTATTAAATTCCTACATTTTAGATGTTAGATAATTGAAATCTACCTGTTTTTTTTTCAAAGTATTAAAATTAAAAAGTTTGAAACAAATTACTTGCAACATCTATAGGTATCTAAAAGCAAAACAAAATCCTCAATACAACCTATTAAATAGTTCCTCACAGATCTTGTTGCATCGGGAATTACTTTAATTTCTAAATATGCCAATATATCCGTTTGGGTGACAATTTTTAATTACTTAGCTTAGATATCTACCTATTTAAGGATGTGTCTACGCTAGGTACCTAGGTACCAACATCGTTTTTCGTCAATCTAAACATGTCCTAGGCCAAAAAGTTCAAATTAGAAATATTGAAAAGTACCTACCTAATTAGTTTTTCAAGAGGGTAGAAAGTAAACAGGGATGAAAATAATTTACTAACTAGGTATTTTAGGACGTTATCAGGACCTAGACTCACTTATTTAATAGGCAACGACCATACCACACTGAACACACCGGTTCTCGTCCACCGGTTCTCGTCAAGTGAACGCGTTATTTCAGCGAAAGAGTGATCCCGTATTATTTTAGTGAAAAACATATAGACAATTATTAGTTTTTAGTGAATTTATTATATAAGTAGTGTGAAAATCTAAAAAACTTTTAAAAAGTACACAAAACCGCGGTTTTAGTAATATTTTTGGAAAACCCAATCTGACATTTTGTCAGTGACAGATTTTGAACAGTCAAAAAATCTCTCCATCAAGAGAGAGATTAGGAAATTTAAGGAAAAACGGGTGCTAATACCCGAGAAAAATTTACAGTTATTGCAGCAACAAAATGCTTTGAGACGTTCAAAATTAAAAAGTAACAGTACATCCCAAATCAGTGATATTATGTCGGCGATTCCTCCTGGTAAAGCAGCTATTGATAGCAAGTATAGAAATAATAACATTCAGAGTAAAGTAACTTATCAACAACAAACCCAAATACAATCCCATCCGCAAAAGGTAAGCTCACCTATAAAAAGCGCATCAAAAACTACTACAACCACAACAACAACTATAATATCAACATCATCGGCAATTGCAGCATCAATTACAGATCCAAGTACAACATCAGTAATAAATACACCAATAAGTAGTACACTCACAAATGAATTTGAGCCGAAAATGCACTCTCAATCACAGTTCTCAATTACGACAGAATTTATGGATACTGAATTTACACAAATTTCGTCAGATGAGCAAATCAACTCTCAACCACTAATTGAAGTAGTGCAGGTGCATGATGACTACCATCCAAATATTAAACGAACACTGGCAGCAAGAGATACGTCTTCAGAAGATGAAGGTAATGAAAACGATTATAAAATTCCCAAGAAAACGCTACCATTATCACGCCTCTCTCAGATGATAAAACCAAAAAATCCACCTGTCACTACTGTCAATAGATTTGTTCCACTCATAGAGGATGATATCCATGTTGTCGAAGAGCCCCATCATCACGAAGTTTCAAAAGAAAATACCGCTAGTTCCTCAGTCATTGGCAAGCCACCACCGATAGTAATAAATGGTATTGTAGGGGATTTAAAAGGTTTTAGAGATGAAATAAAGTCGGTCGTCGAAAACGACTTTTTCCTCAAATACACAAAAAATTCAACCCTGTTGTTTTTAAAAGATAAAACGGATTATAATAAGCTCAGTAATAAACTGAAAGCACTTAACGAATTAGAGTGGCACACTTACACAGTGGCGGAGGAAAAACAGCACGCTTTTGTCCTAAGAGGGTTAGATTTTGATGTCGATCTGAAGGATATAAAGGAGCAGTTAGAAGAAGAACACAAAATAACTACAAACAACATATATAAAATGTCAACAACAGGTAGGCCCTTGTACCTTGTAACTACATCCAATAAAATTAATCTAAATTTCTTGGTGAACAATATTAAACACCTAATGAATACAAGGGTATATTGGGAGCGAAGAAGGAACGAAAGAAAATTAATTCAGTGCAGACGCTGCCAACGATGGGGTCATGCTACATCCAACTGTTACAGAGTCCCACGATGTCTCAAATGCGCAAATAATCACTGGACAAGAGAGTGTGAGAAAACTCCGGATACCCCTGCAAAATGTGCGAATTGCAACATGGATCATCCTGCAAACTACTCCAAGTGTCCGGAGTACACGAAAGCATTAGAGCGGTTGGAGTCTAAGAAGCCAACTTTTAAGCCGGCTCCGCCTCCAGTTACAAACGCCTGGCAAAATAGAAGCAAGAAGACTGTCCAATTTGAACCTGAAATCCGAATGGCTACAGAATTCCCCCCGCTTCCATCGAAAACAACAGCGAACAGAGCAGCACCGCATTTTGTCAGTGGTATGGAGCAAGACATCGGTACATTTACTGAATTGGCGTCTGAATTCAAGGTGCTTAATAATATGGTCAATTTAAAGGTACTTTTGCAGGCTGTCAGGGACCTAAACGTAATAATGTCTAGTGCCCCTAACAGTTCAGCAAAATTTATTGCTTTTTATAACTTTATTTCTTCAATTGAAAAGTACAATATTTAAAATGCGGGCTAATTGTGTTTTGTTTAACGCAAATTCCGTGAAAAATAAAATTGCTGAATTAATTTATTTCTTAAATAAACACAAAATTGATATTGCTTTCCTTTCAGAGACGCAACTGAGGGCAAATCATAAGTTTAGGGTAAAGGGCTATAATATAGAACGTGAGGACCGTCCTGATAGAACAGATGGGAATCTGATGAAACAAGGAGGCGGTGTCGCTTTCGTGATAAGAAACAACATTCCTTATTGCAGACTACAAACGAGGCATACTTCATCAATTGAGCATGTTGCAGTGAGACTTGATAATGGGTTGGTGCTTGTTGGCGTGTACGTCCAGCCTAAGACAGATATTGTCTGGAGTGAGGTAGATCAATTATTAGCTCTTGGTAGTAAGGTAATAATTGCTGGCGATTTTAATAGCAGACATGAACAATGGGGATGTTTATCTAATAACAAAAATGGTCGATACATGTCTAGATATCTTGAGGAGACACAAGTAGCTTTAATGTATACTGACACTCCAACTCATTTCCCTTCAAATGGCCAAACGCCCTCGACTATGGATTTTATCATCAATAAAAATGTGAGCAATCTGTCTGAGCCTTACACTGTATGCGAAATGAGTTCTGACCATGATCCAGTACTCTTCACAATTGGAGAGGTTTTTAAAGAAAACCCCGCTAAGCCGATGTGGGATTACAAAAATACCAATTGGGAAGAGTATAGGAAACATATTAATGCTATACTTAAAACAAAATATGTTTCTCAAGAGAGAGAAATAGATGAAATGGTTTCAAATTTTACTAATATCATGTTAAATGCTCGTTTAAAAACTACGAAGCAAATCAAACAGATCGAACAGGACAAAATACCAGATGAAATCATCTCTCTAATTCATCAAAAACAAAAATTTAGAAAACAGTGGCAAAGAACAAGGAATGACGCAGACAGGGTCAGATTCAGAGAGTTAGCTCGACAAATAAGAGAAAGAATTATAGATTATAGGTCAACAGTTTGGCAGACAAAATTGGAAAATCTGAAACCTGGCTCTAATGAGGTATGGAATGTTGTCAGGTCTCTCAAAAAACGATATGAAAATATTCCAACCCTCATAGATCAGGATAAAGAGCATGTAAATAATCGCCAGAAGGCGGAATGCTTTGGAGAATACTATAGGGATAATTTTAAAAGTCTTTCGGACACAAACCAAGTTCACATCGATACAACAGTTAGGGCTAAACAGCTGAGGGACACCCCCATTGTGTCAATAAATTCCAAGACGTTTTCTAAAATATTGGTCACTCCTTTAGAGGTTTACGAAATAATTAAAGAATTACCTATTAAAAAATCCCCAGGTGTTGACGAAGTGGATACCATTTTATTAAAAAATCTTCCTCCTAAGGGTTTTACACACTTAGCTAATATTACCAACGGAATTATTAGACTACAGTCATATCCGGATTGCCTTAAAAAAGCATTAATTGTACCGATTTTGAAGCCGGGTAAATCGAAAAATAGAGCGGATAGCTATCGTCCCATATCTTTACTAAGTATTACAGCCAAGGTAATAGATAAAATTATATTAAAAAGAATTGGCGGAGAAACTAAAAAACTTAAAATAATTCCACATGAACAGTTTGGATTCCGCTCTGGTCATTCTACAGTGTCACAGGTGGTCCGAATTGTTCATGCGGCGAAGGAAAATATAAATTGTAAGAGAAACACCGTAGCTGCCTTTTTGGACATGCGTAAAGCCTTCGATACCGTTTGGATAGAACGGTTATTAGTAAAGATGTGGGACGGTGGCTTTCCGCTGTATTTAGTCAAACTAATTAACTCTTACCTTGATAACCGGACAATATCAGTTAAGGTGCAAAACACAATATCATCACAATATCCAGTGCAAGCGGGAGTTCCGCAAGGATCGGCCCTCTCGCCACTACTTTATTCCATATATACTTCGGATGTGCCTAAATTTGAAAAAACAAACTTAGCCCTATATGCGGATGATACCTGCGTATATGCCCACTCGTTTTCCTCTGAGGTAGCCTGTAGACAGGTACAATTACATATTGATCGCATATTGTTACCATACTACCTAGACAACAAGCTAGTAATTAATCCCGAGAAAACTGAATTAATAAATATCACAAAGAAACATACCAATAACAAAATTTTCAATGACTTGAACGTATGCGGTAATAAAATTAAACCAAAAAGATATATTAAATATCTCGGGCTGACTATCGATCGATCTGTTTGTTGGAAGTCACACATAGACACGGTAGCATCCAAAATAAATGGCCTAATTAAAACATTATATCCCCTAATTTGTAAGCGTAGCAAGGTCAATCTTCCTACTAAACTGTTAATTTTTAAACAAATTTTCAGACCTGTACTAACATACGGATGTCCTGCGTTTTGTTCGGCTTCTAACACACAGATGGTTCGTCTACAGCGGCTGCAAAATAGGGTGTTGAGAATTATCACGGATAGCGATCGGTACACTCCTGTTCGTAGAATTCACGAAAAAGCTAAAGTTCCTCTGTTAAATGATTATGTATTAAAGTTGTCGTTGAAATTTTACAAATCCCACTTGAGAGGAAGTATTCTTACTCGCGACATCATTAGCACACACATTCAACAGCCAATGGCTAGAAAACATGGCTTAATCTATGAAGCCCTTCTACCACATCTATAGCACATGCTAATATTGATATATTTTTGACGCCTTTTAGGTTTTCACTAATATGTCTTATACTTACATTATATATTTAGATGTTGTTTTCAATTGTTTAGAAAAGGTTTTTGCCAGATTTTTCCTTTGAATAGATTACTAAAACTTTCAGTTTCATTCAATAGTTTAAAATATCATTACAATTATCTAGAAGAAATAAAGTTATAAACAGTAATGAATCCAAAAGCCTTTGAAGGTGGGAGGGAATCGTCGACATTTCATTTCTACACATAGCAAAGATAAGAGAACTTCATGGTGCCAGTCCATCCGGCGACCCTCAAATTATCAAGGCCATAGTGGTTAGATATTGGGGGTAATTTCACATAGAAGTCTAGACAATATACCTACTATGTTTCTCTGTATTTTGCTATATACTATTATGTAACTAACAAATCAATAAAGATATTATGTATGTATGGTTCTCGTCCGATCACCGCAGTTAAGCAGTGTTGGGCGCGGTTAGTACTTGGATGGGTGACCGCTTGGGAACACCGCGTGCCGTTGCCCTTTTTGCGATTTTTTTTAGTTAAACTTATTAAATTCCTACATTTTAGATGTTGGATAATTGAAATCTACCTGTTTTTTTTCAAAGTATTAAAATTAAAAAGTTTGAAACAAATTACTTGCAACATCTATAGGTATCTAAAAGCAAAACAAAATCCTCAATACAACCTATTAAATAGTTCCTCACAGATCTTGTTGCATCGGGAATTACTTTAATTTCTAAATATGCCAATATATCCGTTTGGGTGACAATTTTTAATTACTTAGCTTAGATATCTACCTATTTAAGGATGTGTCTACGCTAGGTACCTAGGTACCAACATCGTTTTTCGTCAATCTAAACATGTCCTAGGCCAAAAAGTTCAAATTAGAAATATTGAAAAGTACCTACGTACCTATCTACCTACCTAATTAGTTTTTCAAGAGGGTAGAAAGTAAACAGGGATGAAAATAATTTAGCAACTAGGTATTTTAGGACGTTATCAGGACCTAGACTCACTTATTTAATAGGCAACGACCATACCACACTGAACACACCGGTTCTCGTCCGATCACCGCAGTTAAGCAGTGTTGGGCGCGGTTAGTACTTGGATGGGTGACCGCTTGGGAACACCGCGTGCCGTTGCCCTTTTTGCGTTTTTTTTTTTAGTTAAACTTATTAAATTCCTACATTTTAGATGTTAGATAATTGAAATCTACCTGTTTTTTTTTTCAAAGTATTAAAATTAAAAAGTTTGAAACAAATTACTTGCAATATCTATAGGTATCTAAAAGCAAAACAAAATCCTCAATACAACCTATTAAATAGTTCCTCACAGATCTTGTTGCATCGGGAATTACTTTAATTTCTAAATATGCCAATATATCCGTTTGGGTGACAATTTTTAATTACTTAGCTTAGATATCTACCTATTTAAGGATGTGTCTACGCTAGGTACCTAGGTACCAACATCGTTTTTCTTTAATCTAAACATGTCCTAGGCCAAAAAGTTCAAATTAGAAATATTGAAAAGTACCTACCTAATTAGTTTTTCAAGAGGGTAGAAAGTAAACAGGGATGAAAATAATTTACTAACTAGGTATTTTAGGACGTTATCAGGACCTAGACTCACTTATTTAATAGGCAACGACCATACCACACTGAACACACCGGTTCTCGTCCGATCACCGCAGTTAAGCAGTGTTGGGCGCGGTTAGTACTTGGATGGGTGACCGCTTGGGAACACCGCGTGCCGTTGCCCTTTTTGCGATTTTTTTTAGTTAAACTTATTAAATTCCTACATTTTAGATGTTAGATAATTGAAATCTACCTGTTTTTTTTTCAAAGTATTAAAATTAAAAAGTTTGAAACAAATTACTTGCAACATCTATAGGTATCTAAAAGCAAAACAAAATCCTCAATACAACCTATTAAATAGTTCCTCACAGATCTTGTTGCATCGGGAATTACTTTAATTTCTAAATATGCCAATATATCCGTTTGGGTGACAATTTTTAATTACTTAGCTTAGATATCTACCTATTTAAGGATGTGTCTACGCTAGGTACCTAGGTACCAACATCGTTTTTCGTCAATCTAAACA